GCAGAGAGGCCAGACCTATTTGATCTTAATAATTCCGGAGACTTATTTCTAATGAAAGATGAGTGTAAGGGAATCCCAATTAGTGAAGCTGTATGCTTAAAGCCGAAAATGTATTCAGTTCTTCCAGTTGGTCATGATCCCAAAACGCCAAAAACAGAGGCGGATTTCGAAAAAGAGTTAGAAGAAGAGGGTTGGCAGAAAAAGCATGGCATACAAAAGGCCAAGGGCGTTAAAAAATCAGTAGTAAAAAGGGAGCTTCGTCATGACAAGTTCCTAGAATGCTTAAAAACTCGAAAAATTACTAGGCACGACATGTATGGGCTTCGTAGCTATGATCATCAAATTTATTTAGAACGCGTTAACAAAATAGGGCTGAATCCTTATGACAATAAGCGCTGGATTTTATCTGACGGAATCCGAACTTTACCTTATGGGCATTGGAGAATTCGTGCATATAAAAAGTTTGTTGCATCAGGGGTAATTCCTGAAGAAGCAGAAAAAAGGGCTATGAAATTAACACTCAAACCCGAATATCAATAATTTATATAACATAATTATTTGGAAATCATATTATAACAATTTTTTTTAGATATAATATATTTTGAGACGTTATTTAGCCATGCTAGCTCCGCTAATTATAGCAGATCATCTTCCAAAATGTAACAAACATGATTATCGTCCACACATGTTGTCGGTTGACTAAAAGTACCACTCCAGGAAAAAATAGCCATGTTAACTCCGGTAAATTTCTAAAGATATTACTTGAAACAAATTATAAATTTTTTTCTAATATAAATATACTATTTTAATAAAAACGCCATAATGAATTTACCCTGTAAAATTAATAATATACCAGTTGAGGTTGGATGTTGCTCCTGTACTAATTATAATATTGTAGATATGGACTTAGCAAGACATTTTAGCCATGCTAGCTCCGCTAAAAAATTGAAAATCGATACTTCCTATACAGAACCAGAAGGAAAACCAAGTATGTTTAATATATTAGGTATGATCCATAAACCAAAGATAATAAATGGAAACAAGTAGAAGTTAATGAAATTTTTGTAACTGATGAACCTGAGCAAAAAATTGCATTGGAACCTGGTCATAAAAACGCACTGATATTGGGTTGGCCATGGTTTCAGGCAAATGTGGAAAATGTAGATTTTGAAAATAAAACTTTTACATTGTATGATGGGGACGTTATTCCATTTATCTATAATGATGATGAATTCGATTTTATAGAAGTAGTAGAAGAAGAAGAAGCAGTAATTAGAAATGTTTTAACTAATATGATTTACTAAAAATTTAGCACGACTCTAGCATGAGTGTATCATTTTACATATAAATATATAGAAAAAATTCTAGCACGTCTCTAGCTCAACTCTAGCATATCTTAACCACATTTACATATAACTTTATTTTATTGTATATGAGGAATTAGCCCTGCTAATATTAATTATTATATGGGTTGTACACATCGGAATTTCTTTAGTTATACTAAAGGCTCCGCTAAAAATAATTTTTTTACATACTTTTGGTTAAACTTCATCTTCAACTTCATCTTCATCTTCATCAGACGAATCTACTTTAGATATATTATAAACTGTTTTAGCCATGCTAGCTCCGCTATTATTATTAATCATCATTGAATCTATAATTAGTTTATGAATTTCCGGCTTAACTATAGCTAACAATACACGTAAAGAAATTCTGATTTTTTTATACATAAATGATGAAATAAGGCTAGAAACGTTATTTTGCATACTTTTACTAATATTAGTATGTAAATTCGAGGCTTCGGGATTATGAGTTTTGATTGGTATAGGCATTTTTATTAAATGAAAATAAATTCGTCCAAAATATTAATTATATGTATTACGAAAAAAATATTAATTATATCGTACAACATAACAATTATCAACGTTACATCAAGTATACTTCAAGTATACTTCAAGTGTACTTAAACTGTGTTTACATAATATAATTAATATAATATTAACGGTTTATGAATATACTTCATGTGTACTTCATGTATACTTCATGTATACTTCATGTATACTTCATGTATACTTCATGTATACTTCATGTATAAGATTAATTATGTATGAAATTAATTTATGGATGTCAATCACTAAAAGTATACTTTTTTTAGATAATTAAAATTTTATAAGAACGATATTTATACATGATTAATATAAATATTTTTTTATTTGGAATTCTTTGGAATTCTTTTATAGGAATATTCTATGGAATTCCACAAAAATTATTCAAACTTGGTTGAGCAATTACCGCCATCAATAATACAAGAATCTTGGAAACGTCTTACAAGACGAAAAAATAATCCTTTAACAGAGGTTGAGGTAGGTAATATAAACTCAGAAATTGAAAATTTTCTAAAACATGAGGTTGAAAAATATAAGAAGAAAAAAGAAAGACAACGTCGAAGTATAAAATACTCATCAGAGCAGGCTCCGCCAAAATTATCCAATACTGTAACATTAATAGATAAGCAGGATGCACAAAAATCGGAATCTTCTTTACTTTGTACTGGTAATAATGTAGCTTCTTCAGCAGATATAAAGATATTTAATCAGAAATTAACTAATAGGCTAAAGCAAGAAAATTTGATATATCTTGAAGCTGAACGTCAAAAATTAACCAATGAAAAAGATACTGAGATTAGTAATGTAAAAAACGAATACGATAAACTTATTGATGAGAATAATAAAAATATATATATTTTGAAACAAGAAATAGAAGATCAATATGAATCCAAAGTTTCTGCGATGGAGACACAAAATACCAAGAATTATAGTAAAACATTAGAAGAAAAGGATAAAAAAATCGCCAAATTATCAGATGATAATAAAAGATATAAAAATTATATAGTAGCATTAAAGGAAAGCAACAAATCATCTTTGGAAAAAATTAATAAGTTAGGAAATAAATGTCAGCAATTAGAAGATATTATAGATGCTAAGGACCAAAAAATAATCAATCTCAATGACCACATTATATCTTTCAATCAACATGGCGGTAGGGATGGAACAATTGAGCCAGAAAGTTATTTTTCCTATGCTGAAAAAGGTTTATGGGTAAATAGGTACTATAATTCAGAAACTAATCTGGAAAATCGAAAAAAATTTACGTTTAGAAAAAATCTACATGGCTAAGTACAATTATGCTAATGATAATCGAATAGGAACTGTAAGAACGTTAGCCATGCTAGCTCTGCTATTATTTTTTGTTGAAACACTGTTATTTGCTGTTAAAACATTTTCATTAACTGTAGAAACACTGTTATTTTCAGCAGAGCTGGCAAGGCCATTTTTTCTATGCTTACAGTTTTTTAAATGCGGTTTTAATCTACAAGGATATTTGAAAGACTGATTACAATATTGACATGTTCTATCAATTAATTTTTTTTTTTTCTACATTATTGATGCTGGCTTTGCTAAAAACATTTTGCTGAGGTTTATGAACGGAAAGTGGAATAGTAATGGTTTTTCCATTGCAAGAAGCTTTAAATTCGCCTTTTACAATAGGTTCCCATCCAGCACGATGTTGCCATCTGGTACCAAGAATAAATAATGATATATCTTTACCATTATGATCTTTTTCCGTTGGAAGAACTGAAAATTCATCTGAAATATTTACAGTATCATTTCCTATACCTATAGTTATTGGAATATCATGAAATGTCCCTATAGATTGTTTTTCTCCAACGGCTCCTGAAAGCCTATAAGCCTTTTTTCTATCCATTTTTAAACCAAAATATTTTTCAATATAATCTGCAATATTATCAGAAAGATGAGATCCATCAGAACCCGTATCAAGTAAAGCATGAGGTATTTCTAAATCATATATTTTATATGGAATAGTTGCATAGTTGTTTGGTTCTTTTATTTGCAGGAAATTAATTTCTAAAGGATTAGGCCAATCTCGAATTAATTGTGCTTCTTGATATAATTTTATTGCATGGTTTAAAGAACGGTTATCAGTAATAGATTCCTGACTTTGACTTTCTTTATGACTATTAATAATATAAATCAATGGTACTAAAATAAATTGATATTTCTTAATAAGATTTTTCCATACCATATCTCTTTCTTTACTAGAATAATTTTTTGTATAATATGAGTGGAATGTGTTTTCCATTTCTGGAAATAATTTTCTAATAAATGCATATAACTCTGAAAGAATTTCTTTTGGACAATGTGGAATTAATGATGATATTATATATTTAATCGATTCTAAGAATACTTGATTTTCATCTATCATTTTTTTCTTAGTTGACTTGATAGCTTTGTTTTTTATAGGAATCCTAGAAACGCCTCTTTTTTTTTTATATTAAAACAGTTTGTTTCTTGCGGTTCAAAATCGATATATTCATTTTCATCATCTTCTAAAATTACTTCTTCATTATCCGCATCTATTATTTCTTCCTCATCATATTCTACATATTCTATATATTCTTCATTTTCATCATTTTCGTTATTTTCATATTGAGAAATATTATTAACTCTTCTAACTCTTTTAAGTTTGGGGCAATTATTTTTTGTATGTCCAACTTTTTTACAAATTGAGCATTGTCTTGAATTTTTATTTGTTATAATTACCTTTCTAGAAGCGGGTTGTTTTGTAGCATATATTTTTCTTTGCGGTTCAAATGGTTCATTTTTCATATTATGAATTTGCCTTCCATAATTTCTATAAAGATCATTTTCAATATATTTTTGCATTTGATTATAATCAGTTAAATCCCCTGAATAACCCAAACGTTGTGCTAAATTAGCTAATATATCTAATGCATTATTGGTTTGTTGTTGATTTATTAATGTCAGTTGTATACTATTATTTCCAGCTTGCCGTTCAATCCAGCATTTTTTTAAGTCTGCAAAGAAATTATCTATAGTTGTATTGCCACCTCTTATTGACATATACATTTTTACAGTACTACGAAGATCGGGAGGAAGATGGGTATATAATGCTGGTATAACCATATCAGCTTGAAAACCAACTATAATTTTTCGGATTCTAGTTTCATAAGTATCTGGAGTATCTAATGGATTAAATTTTTCTTGCATCAATGATTGTAAAGCCAATTCTGAATTTCCTGATGTTACTTCTCGATATTTATGACGAAGCCAAACTCGAAAAGTTGCTGGAGAATTAATAGCAGGATTGCCTACAGTATATTGATCATTAGCTGGTACAGGAGAAAACTTTTCGCCCATTTTACCTTTTAAGATATCGCATATATGAGCATCAGTAAAAGTATTTGCATTAGCATTATTGGCAGCCGTAGTTACAGTATTTATAGAATCAATAACATTTATAATTTTTTGATAATACTCATCTGGAGGTTCTTTTCCTATATAATTGGGAATTTGACTAAGTGGCGGATGTAATATTAAATATATTTCATGAATAGTAGCCATGTTTGGTTGATTTGCTATATTATTTTGCAAATTTAAAATATTTTGATTTTGATTAATAATAATTTGCTCATAATTTCTGGATCGATTTTTCCATTTGCCCCATTTATTATCAATTTGAATGTCGTTAAGAAATAAATCATTCTGACAAGTATTTAATTTTTGTTGTAAATTTCTACTAAGATTCCGATATTGCTGAAATTTCTGGTTATAATTGTGTATTACTAATTTGGATGCAAATTTTTCTCTTATTAAGTCGCCAACCCTTCTATGCTTATCTTTGTATGAGAAATACCAATGCCGACGTTCTTCCTTTTCATTATAGTATGCCATTGTCATTAACCTCATTTCATCATTGGATTTTTGTACTGTAGAATTTAATCTTAAAATAGTTTGGTATCTTGGTTAATTTTAGCTTCTGCAGTATTTGCTCGATTTTTTTCAAAGTTTGAAATTCCTTGGAGTCTAGTTACAGCATTTCTTATATCAGTAATTTCTCTATCAATAATTGATCTAGGTATGGCTGGTGTTCTTTGAAATATACTATTGATATTAACGAATGCATTTTGAATTGTTTCGCCTAAAGTTTGGATTTCATCCATTGTTGATTTTTTTCTGGACGTTATATTTTGGATTCTATTTTTTAAGTATTTATTTCTTCTTGAAGATCATATATTTTATTATCTAGTATAACCAATATTTCTTCTTTATAGTTAATATCTAACAAAGCTTTTTTTAGACGCTTTTGTAAGCTCATATTATTCTTACGAAGTATTTCTATCTCCTCCAACTCTTCATCCCGATTTGAGATTTCTTTTTCTAAATAATTAATATATGCCTCATTATTAGATAGTATTTTTTCTAATTTGTTGATTTGTTCTTCTAAAGATGACATTAGTTCCTATAATATCAATTGATCCTGCAGTAGAACGTAATATTATTTTGCGTGAGATTTACTATAAACCTGAAGGTTATTATAGAACAGCTGAAAAAATGTATAATGCATGTAAAAATGCAGGTTATAATTTTTCGTTAACTGATATAAAAAATTGGTTAAATAAACAGACTATTTTTCAGATCCATAAGCCTCGGCCAAAATTTATTCCATGTGCATCATTTATAAATATTACGGTTCCAATGGAAGTTATTCAAGCTGATATTCTTTATATGCCATTTGAAAAGGTAGGTGGAATAACTTATATGTTTTGCCTTACTTGTATAGATATAGCTTCTCGATATAAAGGTGCCGTTCCAATTGGAACTACTCTTGATGTTTTGAATATGGAAGATTTTTCTCTAGAAGGTGTACTAACTTCATCTGTAGTTGCCGATGCCTTTGAAAAACTTTTAAACGATCCTAATAATCTTTTTAGATGGGATAAGTTAAAATTAGTAATTACAGATAAAGGCTTGGAATTTAAAGGTCATTTTGAAAAACTCTTAAAAAAACGTAAAATAAAAAATCAGAAGGCTAATTCTAATAATACTATGGGTCCTAACGAAAGCTTTAATAAGACTTTAAGTAAAAAATTGTTTCAAATACAAGATGCGCAGGAATTATTATTGCCTATACCTCAAAGGTCTCGAATTTGGAAAAAAAATCTTTCTACCGTAATTAATATATTAAATAATACTGTAACTCAGTTAATAGGAATGACGCCTACTGATGCTGTAAAAAAGGAACATGTATATGCAAAATCTTCTAAACCTCGTAAAGGACCCATTGGTTTTGATGAAGTTCATTTAACTTACAAAGATATTGTAAGGTATTTACTTAAACCGGGGGAATTAGAGGGTGGTAAACGAAGAGCAACTGATTGTAATTGGTCCCCTCAGGTTTATCATATAAAAAAATTGTTAATACAAAAAAATCAACCTGTTTTATATTGGCTAATAAATGATGATGGTATTGGTCCTAAGCGATCCTTTGTTAAAGAAGAATTAATGGTTGTTAAAGATGTTGAATTACCACCTGAATGGGTATTACGTGGAATTTAACTATTTGTCTGCATTATCATCTTCTAATTCAAGAAATGAATTTGCATCTTTTTCAAGATCATCATCATTGACAAAATATTCTTTAGCTAGTTTATAGTATGTACCATTAAGATTTTCAACGGCTTTTAAAATTCTTGGCTCATACTTGTACCAGTTTTTATATTGTTCTTTCATTTGAAAATATTTCTCTTTATTTGGGAATAATGTTTTTGCTTGTTTAATAATACATTCTTGAGGTTCTTCATGTTGATGTAAATCGGTATATAGTTTTTTGTAATTTTTAAGAAATTTACTATCTTTGGGTTTTTTATAATATAATCCTGCTACAACTACTTCTTTTATGGCTTTTTCAACTTCCTGCCATGTTGGTTGAACTGATTTAATAGTTTCTTGATTACTCATTTTTGGTTATGCGTTCAAAAAATTTTTTTTGTGGTGCGGTTGGTACTATAATTTTTATATTATACTTATAGAAAAATTTATTATTCAATTTGAATTTTCCCTTACACTCACTAGACAAAAGTCGGGCGCATTTTTAAACAAAAATTGCGCAAAAACATACTTAATAATAATTAAATAGA